GGCATGGCACGGCACCTCCCTGTGCTCCTCCGCTTCCTTCCTCCGGCACGAGCCCCCTGAGACACCATTTTTGGTAACTTCCTCAGGCTGCAGCATGAGCCGAGGAGCAAAACAAGCAGCTCACAGTACGTCAGGTGGGGAGGGCATGGGAAGGGAGGGGACGTGCTGCAGCTCTGACACCCGGAGAAGTTTGGCCTCTGCAGATTTAGCCCCTCTGACACATCCCGAATCTCTGGTTCAGGGATACACCTGAAAAATTGAAACCAGGAGGTGAGAATCACAGAATCACAAAATCACAGAATGTCAGGGATTGGAAGGGACCTCAAAGGATCATCTAGTCCAATCCCCCTGCCTGAGCAGGACCACCTAGATCGGATCACACAAGAACGCGTCCAGGTGGGTTTTGAACATCTCCAGAGAAGGAGACTCCACAACCTCTCTGGGCAGCCTGTTCCAGTGTTCTGTTATCCTTACTGGGAAGAAGTTCTTCCTCGTGTTTAAGCGGAACCTCCTGTGTTCCAGCTTATATCTATTTCCCCTTGTCCTATCATTGGATGCCTCTGAGAAGAGCCTGGGGCAGAAGGGGTGGGTGAGGTCAGATCGGCATCCCAAAAACTGAACTCAGCCTTTAAACCTTGCGTGAGGATCCCAAGCCGAGAGGAGGCTGCGGTGCAAAACCTGCTCCACCTGAGTATTTGGCTATTTGCCTCGGGACAGGTGGCACCATGACATAGACACGAGACTTTGCCCTTCCTGTTATTTTTGCTGCCGGAGGATTTCTTCTGAATTGCTGGTGGCCATTCAGCTGGTGAAGCTCGAGCCCACGTGCCCCCGCCGCAGGGGTGTCACCTGCCTTCGGCACTGCTGCCGGAGCGGGAGGCAGCCGGGGCTCCGAGCACCGGCATCCGTTTGCACGGCGGGTGGTTGTTTCGATGGGTCACCAATTGAAGGGGATTTTGGCTCTGACTGGGTTTGCTTTTTTTAAAATTCACTGGAATCTCACTGCGAAAGCCACAACTATTTCGGCCCCCGAGCAGCTTTCGAGTTTTGGAGCATCGGTAGCAGCGGTCACTCTCTTCTGAAAAACTGAAACCCGCAAAGAAACCCCAAGCCAGATTCTTACCCCTGCACGCGACATCGGCTGGGCTGGATCCGGCTGCGAGACCTGTGCGGCCGATGAGTCGGTGGGAAGGTGTTGGAGGGCAAGTATTGGCAGCGATCGAGGTGGCACAGGCCTTTTTCCAGGGACAACCTTGAAGGCAGCAGAAAAAGACCGTTCCCAGGTGCCACCAGAGCAGAAACGAGCAGCATGTCCCCAGCTTGGTGTCACCCAGCCCAGGCTGTGGGTGGCTGTCGGGGAGGTGCTGAGGGCTTTTCCAGTAGAGATGGGTTAAAGGGCTATGTAGGGAGGGAAGGAAAAACAGCTCACACCATACATGGGATGGAGGTGTGGAAGGAGGGATGGGAGAATGGAGAGATGGGTGGCTGGAAAGATGGACAGATGGATGGAGGGAAGGATAGAGTGGTGGATGGAGGGAGAGAAGGAGACATTGATGGAGGGAAGGGTGAATAGCAGGATGGTGAGATGGATGGGTAGATGAGAGGTGGATGGATAGAATAATGGAGGGATTCATGGATGGATGGATGAAGAAAAGAATGTCAGGAGGAAGGGATGGATGGAGGGGTGGGTGAATGGAATAGTGAAGGGTGGAAGGGAAAGTGGTGGTGCAACAGTTGAGTGTTGGGATGGATGGATGGATGGATGGATGGATGGATGGATGGATGGATGGATGGATGGATGGATGGGTGGGTGGATGGCTGAGGGGATGGTTAGCTGGATGAACGGCAGGGTGGTGGGAGAGATGGATGGAGGGGTTAGCGGATGGGTGGATGAAGGGATGGAGGGATGGAGGGGTGAGTGGATGGAGGCATGGAGGGATGGAGGGATGGAGGAGTGGGTGGATGGGTGGATGGAGGGATGGATGGGTGGATGGATGG